AACAATAACACGGCAACAAATTTGACAAGCTAAGCAAAATGGACCAATTTCTAGAAACACATAGTCTCCCAAAATTGAACCAGAAAGAGACAGAAAACGTCAACAGACCAATAAAAACAGAAGAAATTAAATATGTAATCAAGACTCTCCCAGAAAACAAAAGCCCAGGCCCAGAGGGCTTCACGGAGGAATTTTATTGAACATTCAAAATAGAACTAATATCCATTCTCCTCAAACTATTTCAAAAAATTCAAGAAGAAAGACTTCCAAACTTGTTTTATAAAGCCACCATAATTCTAATTCCAAAACCAGAAAAAGACACTACAAAGAAAGAAATCTACAGGCCAATACCCCTGATGAACATAGATGCCAAAATCCTGAACAAAATGCTAGAAAATCGAATCTAGCAATACATCAAAAAAATTATTCACCATCACCAAGTGGGATTCATTCCAGAAATGCAAGGATGGTATAATATTCACCAATCAATAAATGTGATACACCACATAAACAAAATAAATGATAAAAAAACATATGATCATATCAGTAGACGCTGAAAAGGCAATCGACAAAATCCAACACCCATTTCTGATAAAAGCACTCTGCAGTCTGAGAATAGAGGGATCATATCTCAAAATAATGAAGGCCATATATAAAAGACCTACACCCAACATCATACTCAATGGGCAAAAATTAAAAGCATTTCCCTTAAGAACAGGAACAAGGCAAGGATGCCCACTTTCACCACTCTTATTTAACACAGTACTGGAAGTCTTTGCCACAGCAATCAGACAGGAGGAAAAAATAAAAGGGATCCAAATTGGAAAGGAGGAAGTGAAACTGTCATTATTCTCAAAAGACATGATACTATATGTAGAAAACTCCAAAGACTCCATCAAAAATTCACTGGACTTAATAAATGAATTTGGCAAAGTAGCAGGATACAAAATTAATGTCAAGAAATCAATGGCATTCTTATACACCAATGATGAACTCACAGAAAGAGAAACTAAAAAAACAATCCCATTTACTATCACAGCAGAAGAATCAAGATACCTAGGAATAAACTTAACCAAAGAAATAAAGGACCTATTCGCAGAAAACTACAGGTCATTGAAAAAAGAAATAGAGGAAGATATAAAAAAATGGAAGCACATACCCTTTTCATGGATTGGGAGAATTAACATCATTAAAATGTCCATACTACCCAAAGCAATCTATAAATTCAATGCATTCCCCATCAAAATACCAACGGCATACTTCATAAAACTAGAACAAATACTTCAAAAGTTCATATGGAACCAAAAAAGAGCTCGAATAGCCACAGCAATCTTGAAAAAGAAGAACAAAGTTGGAGGGGTCACATTACCAGATTTCGGGTTATACTACAAGCCACTGTAATCAAAACAGCCTGGTACTGGCCAAGAACAGACAGATAGATCAATGGAACAGAACAGAGAACCCAGAAATGGACCAAAGACAATATGCTCAATTAATATTTGACAAAGGTGGCAAGAGCATACAGTGGAGTAAAGACAATCTCTTTAATAAATGGTGTTGGGAAGACTGGATAGCTTCATGCAAAAAAAATTAAACTAGACCATGAACTTACACCATACACAAGAATAAACTCAAAATGGATAAAAGACTTAAATGTGACTTATGAATCTATAAAAATCCTAGAAAAAAATGTAGGTAACAAAATTTCAGACATCATACGCAGCAGAATTTTCACTGATAAGTCACCTAAGGCAACAGAAACAAAGGAGAAAATAATCACATTGGACTACATCAAACTCAAAAGCTTCTGCAGAGCAAAAGAAACAACCGCCAAAATTGAAAGGCAACCCACTCTATGGGTGAACATAATTGCCAATGATACATCAGATAAAGGGGTAATTCCTTATATATATAACAAAAAGAAGACAAAGAACCAAATTAAAAAATGGGCAGAGGACCTAAATAGACACCTCTCCAAACAGGACATACAAATGGCCAAGAGACATATGAGGAAATGTTCAACACCACTAATCATCAGAGAGATACAAATTAAAACAACAATGAGGTATCAACTCACACCTTTCAGAATGGCTGCCATCAACAAATCACAAACAACAAGTGTTAGCAAGGGTGTGGAGAAAAGGGGACTCTAGTACACTGCTGGTGGGAACGCAGACTAATGCAGCCACTATGGAAAACATTATGGTGTTACCTCAAAAAATTAAAAACTGAACTGCCATTTGACCCAGTAATCCCACTTCTAGGAGTATACCCTAAAACACCTGAAACAGCCCTGGCTGGTTTGGCTCAGTGGTTGGAGCGTTGGCCTGTGGTCCGGAGAGACCCGGGTTTGGTTTCCGCTAAGGGCGCGTACCTCGGTTGCAGATTGTCCCTGGCCCTGGTGGGTCCTGTGTCTGGCAGCCACTCAATGTGTCCCTTTCACGTCGATGTTTCCTCTCTCTCTCTTCTTCTCTCTCTCTCCCACACTATCTGAACTAAAAAAATGGAAAAATGTCCTCGGGTGAGGATTAAAAAAACAAAGAAAGAAACCTGAAACACCAATCAGAAAGAATATAAGTACCCTCATGTCCGTAGCAGCACTATTTACAATAGCTAAGATCTGGAAACAGCTCAAATGTCCATCAGTAGACAAATGGGTAAAAAAAGTTGTGGTACATATACACAATGGAGTACTATGCAGCTGTAAGAAAGAAAGATCTCTTATCCTTTGAGACGACATGGAGGGATCTGGAGTATTATGCTACGTGAAATAAGCCAGTCAGAGAAAGACAAGTATCATATGATCTCACTTGTTTGTGGAATATAATGAACATAAAAGTCTGAGTAATGGGGTAGTCCCAGAGATGTGGAAGTGGGGTACAGACTGACAATCCCCAGAAGAGGGGTTGGTGGGGGAGAGATAAACCACAGAACTTATATGCATGTATGCATGAACAATGGACATGGACAACAAAGCTGGGGACAGGGCAAGGAGGGAGGAGGATGGGGAATCAGTGGGGGAAAAAGGAGAAACATCTGTAACAAAAATAAATTAACTAATTAAAATATAAATAAATAAAAATTATGTTTTAATTTAAAAACAAAAACAAAAAGCATACAACAAAAATAAAGAAAAAGAAAAATAGTCATGATGCAGCCCCACTGTCTCTAGGCCATTTCTAACTGACAGCATTCAAGGCCATTTAAGGAGGCCCAGACCCTCTTCTAACTCGTCTTCTTTCCTGCCCTGCAAGCATGTTCAGTACACCTACCTTTCCTGGTTGAGCCAATAAACACCTGGTACCTCTCCCCTCTACGAGGATTGCCAACCTGTGTGGCTGGCCATTGAAAAAGCATTCCACAAGTAGCCCTTAGGAGCATGCCTTCAGGCCCCAGTCAGAGTGCCCCTGAGCCTGTCAGCTGTCCTGAGCATGTGAGCCCCAGAGGGGCACCAGGCCAGCACTATCTCTGGCCAGCACAGTGTACTGTGCACTAGAGGTACTGGTTGAACAAATGAATCACTGAACAGAAGAATAAATGATAATGACAAAGTACCCCTAAAATGCTCTCCATTGGGAATTAACTAATACACAGGAGTTGGCCCACGAACAAACTGCATTAATGTCACCTCTTCCCAGTCCACCCACCCCACCCTGAAGTCTCCAGCTCCTTTAATTTAGGTGATTCACCTCCAGAATAAAATGAGACACACCTGAGTGCCTCAGGACATCCTCATGGACCATGGGGCATAGAGGGCTGCACCACATTAATCCAACTCCTCAAGACATTGACAGTTGTTTGCAATATGCCCAGATTCTAACTAAATCCAGCCAAAGACAGTGATTTTCCAAAGCAACAAGTGACATTTCCTGTCTCCATAAAAAGAATACCAGCAGTTTAGGGGACTTGGAGTAAACTGCTGGCTCTGAAGCTAACAGGATGAACCTGAGGTCACGGGCTCAGGGGCTGCAAGGCTGGGAAAGAGGCCACTCCCTCAGAGCAGGAGTCTTCTGAGTTGCAATTAGAGTAGAATCCTTGTTGGGTGGCCTAAATGACTGGTCAGCACAGCTAGCCTGACCACCACACACCGTATCCAAAATAGAAAACTGCAGTGGCTTCTGCTGTGTGCCAGGTCCCCAGGCAGCTGGACAGAGCACCACCAATGTCAGCCTCCTCCCTGAGCATCGATCTAGGCTTCCTTCAAGGCTCTTAAGCCAAGACAAGGTCCCTCTGACTCCCCAAAGTAGGAGAACTTCCCAGGGCTCATACTTGGTGGCCCAGGCAGCCCCAGAGCCTGCATGTCCAAATGCTCCCCTTGGCTCCAAATAGAGAAATAAAACCGACTTTTCAAAACCAGCTAAAGTTCAACAGGAACCCACAGCATAAAAATCAGTGGCTTCCAGTCAGCCAGGGTGCAGAGGTATAACTGAGCATTTTAGCACCACTGCCTGCCACCTAGGCTGGCACCATCCACTTACACAGAAACAAGGAGACTGATTTCCAGCACATGTGCCCCCCATACATACATATCACACATACTAAAATGAACAGGGTCACACACTCAACTGACACACGAATGAGCAGAAACCTACAGATATGCACATGCACAAGACACACAACAGCACATTGACATGTTCACACAGGTGCACAACGACATTCCAAACAAATGTGCACACACTCACAGACATGTACACACACCTGGATGCCAGATCAAGCCCTGTGCCCACAGGTCTTAAGGAGACACATAGCTACTTTATCATGTTTTGGAGACCCTGGGCCACTCCCTTCATAAATTACCCTTCTCCTGTCAATCAAAATAACTTGCCATCCAACCAACCCCTTCAGTAGATGCTCCTAATCCCTAAGCAAAGAAAGTCGTCAGTGTAGGCCTTGCCTTCCCAGGGAACTTCCAGGTAACTGGCCAGGGGACACTCAGTAACAGGTTTCTGAAGCTCAAGCAAGAGCCATGGACAGAAAGGGAGGGAGAAGTGCCTACTCACCAGCCCATCGCAGTTGCTGAGCGCCACGGAGGAGCCTTTGGTCTGTCCGGCCACGTATCCAGTGTAGAGGCAGGTCCCTAGAAGGGGTTCAACGCGGGTGGCGCCCGACTCACCCTGCCATTCCACCGTGGCCCCAGGCGCCACGAGGCGAGGGTTGGGCTTCAGCCGCAGATGCAGGTCCCGGCCGAAGACAGTGACATTATAGAATAGGCGGCGGTCAGGGTCCTCACTGCCTTCAGGAAAGCCCGAGCTCTGGACGGGGGCAGCCCTGCGGGCCCGAACCCCGGCCTGGGCAGTCGTCACCGACACCACGCGAGACACCAAGCGGCCCCGGGCGTCAGTGCGTACGGGCACCGCCAGGACGCGCTCTGCTCCATGCCCCAGGGGTCCGCCTGCAACGGGAAGGGGCATTAGAGCTGCCTAGACCTGGAAGCTCCCAGGCCTAGCTAAGCCTGGATCCCCCACCTCTCCTAGCCCCGCCTCACTGAGAAGGGAAGGGCATTCTTCCAGGCGACCCTTAGAAACTAGCTTGCACCTCCTGGCATTCTGCCAACCTGGAAGGGTTATTAATAAGGCCACCTCACCCGAACCCCGCCTCCCAGGGCGGTCCCGCTCTGGGATTCTGCAAACCTAGAGCTCTGCCCCCTTGCCTGGTTCTGTTTTGGGGCTCCGCGGGCTCCTCACAGTTCCCCAGAGGACGCCGCGTCAGAGCGTCCTCCGCTCGGTGAACCCAAAGTCCTTGGCAGAACTTGGGGCCGCTCCGAACCCATTCCCAGTTGGCCCCCTACCCGTGTGCCTCTACCCTTCTGTGGCCCCTGGGGCGGCGAAGACTCGGCTCCCCCGGCACCGGCGGCCTGTCCTCCGTGTCCAGCTCCCCGTGAGCCCGCTGTCGGCCTCCCGTCCCCAGAGGGGTGGAGCAGGGTCCCTTGGATCTTCAGGGATTCCATTTGAGGCACTCGAACAAATCCTCAGGGCCTCAGGCGCGCTCGGCACTTGGCTCCTCCCGAGCATCCCTGGACGCCAGCCCAGGCGCCGCCTGGCCCTGGCTCCCCTGGACCCGCTGGGGCTGGCTCTGCGAGCTTCGCCGCTGGGTTTTCCCGGCCCTCCACTTCCACGCTCGCCGTCCGGAGAACTGCGAGGGTTCCGAAGCTCCCCATGACCCTAGGCGCTGGGTACGCGTCGGGGGGCACCCCCAGCGCGACCAACCGGGCCAGAAGTTGATCAACTTGACCTCGGGCGGAGTGCTCGGAGTTTGCCCAAGTCTGGTTGGGCACGCCTGGGAGGGGTCGGCGAGGCGGACAGGGCGGTCTGGCCAATGGGGGTCATGGGAGTAGGGGCAGGCCGCACCTACCTGGGGGGACAGAGGTGGCGAGCCAGGCAGCGGCCGGCAGGGGCGACAGCGGCAGCAGCAACAGCAGCAGCAGCAGCAGCAGTGTAAGGGAGAGCAGGCGGCCATCGGGCGCCGGCAAATCCATGGCAGCCGGATCGCAGCCGGGGCTCCGCTATCGCAGCCGGCGCGAAAGTTCACCACGCGCTGCCCAACCCACATCTGGGGGCAGCTGGAGCCGCCGGCAGCTGCAGCACCGCAGGGCGCGGGGCGGAGGAGGCTAGTCGCGCAGGGGAGGGCGGGGAGCGCGGAGCTGAGGCGGGGAGAGGGAAGAAGCGAGCGAGGGAGGCGGGCGGGAGGAAGAAAGAGTGCAAGGAGGGCGGGGACGGCGGGCGCCTCAGCTAGCGGTGACCCGGCACTTCTAGGCGCGGCCGCCGCCAACGCGCCCCCGCTCGCAGACAAACAGAGACACCCGGAGGCAGAGGCAGAGTAACGCCTGGGGAGTTCCGCCGCTGGCCAACCTCGGCTTGTCTCGCGCCCTCGTGGCACACAACCTGGAAGGAACGCGGCCACCGTGGCATTCCCACTCAGAGTACTTGGGGCCCTGGGTCCCACCCGTAAGCCTTGGTGCGCGAGGGACCGCCTGGCCCTATCTTTGCGCCCTGGTGCAGGACAGGGCTCTGGAAGGGAGCAGTTGGGGTGAGGGAGGCTTGAGATGAAGACCCCAGAGGCCAGAAGGCTCTTTTATAGAAGGGTGCGCTCACAGCAGGGGCTTTCCCAGAGATCAGCTTTTACCCTTCCAGATAAGGTATCCTCAGTCCCCAACTCCTCTCTGTCTGAAGTCCCTGTCCCCCTCTGTCTGCTTCCCAATCCTTCCCCATTTCAGCCTGGAAACACAGCCTCCTACACGCAGATCTGCCCCTTCCTCCTAGACCACTGGCATGTTACAGCCTTTACCCGTCCTGAATCCTAGGTGGGCCTCTGACTCCTGGACTTTGCTCTCCTCCAAGCCCTACCTAAAATAGCCTTTCTACTCTCTACTCACCTTTTCCAACTCAGAATACCAGGCATACCTCTCCATCCTGGAGCAAGTTTGCTTTAAAAGCCATTGCCAGCTGGAACCCCTCTTCATCAGCAAGGTTTTGAGCTTGGAGTCACTGCCCTGCCAGGCCTGCTGCCCCCACCACAGTGACTTTTCTTCCTAGGTCCTGCATGGGAATCCCCTCCCAGGCATGTGTCTGTTGGAACACCTCTGCAATGTGATCCCAGACTTCTGCCCCACTTCTCTGGAGGGTGGACACCTGTCTCTTTGGATCTCATTCACCATGCCCCAGGCCTGTGTGCCCAAGGCTCTGGGGTTGGCTCTGGTAAGGCAGCGTCTGATAACTGAGGCACCTCCTTGCCAGCCAGGAGGGCTGGGTCTTATGGGAAAACACATGGCTTACACAACCCACTCTAGCTGTGATTTTTGTCTCCTCAGTTCCATCATTTTTAGGATCTGGGCTTGAAGGCACTGCAACTTGATGGCCATTTTTACCTACAAACTTCTCTCTGTGTCACCTGAGGGTGCTAAGGCAGGATCCAGTTCCCAGGCATAGTGAACATTTGTTGTGAACATTAAAAATATTAAAATTTCACATAAGAACTTATTTAGATATCTGACTTTTTCTTAAGAAATTGGAACATGTGGCCACACCAGGTTCCCATTTCTGCTATTAACCCTTAAATGGGACACATGCTCTGCAGCTTGCTGTAAGTCCCCTTCCTTCACCCCCAGCAGGCATCTACTATTGTGACCTCTGAAAACACAGCTGGTTCCAGGGAAAGGTAGATGGTTATCAGTGTATGGGAAGAAAGATGACTCCATGTAAGCTTGGCCGTTAATATTATTTGACTCACTAAAAACTTTGCATCTAGATCCTTTCCAATAATTAAATAGAAATCACAAATGTATTTAAAAGATTAAGACTGCTCACTATTTAAAAAATAAATTTAAATATAAATTTTTTAAATGTTAAGAAAATGTCCAAAAAAAGCAATTGAATTTAGCAATGGCATAACATCAGACAAAGTGAATAGAGAAATGTTCTCTACATCATTGAAATTTAGCAAAAAATTTTCTAGTATTATCTTTTATATTAATTGATTATCAGATTTGCCTGTGAAATGTTATGGTACTAAAATTTTTATTCTTGGAAGTAAAGTAAAATTGAAATGTCTCTATTTGATATAGTACTTTTCCATTTATTCTTGTTTCTTTAGTTGGTTTTATAGTTTGTGTTATTCAAGGATTTGTCTCTTTTCAACTAAGTGTTCAAGTTATTGACATACAATTTCTCATATTTCTTTAGTGTAAAAGACCAAGATAATATTTACTTCAGAAGGTTAAGATAAATTAATCAATTACTGGGTATCAAATGCATTTAGTAAGTTGTAAATTTCTTGCAAACAGTAATATCTTAGTCACTCCGTATTGTAACAGTGGAAACTGTAACCCACCCCACACACTTTTGGCATCGCTTCTGTAAACGCTGACTCTCACTAATATGTAGCTTGTAGATGAACAGCACATTTGTACAACAATCCTAGGAACTAACCTCAGAAGATGCAGTCTCTGACCTTCAGTCATCCCAGTTCAGGGAGATTTGCTGACCTTCAACCGCAGAACCAGGATGACGTAGATCCAGGATGACACAGACCAGGATGACGCACACCAGACCCCCACTGGACCAGTTCTGAGGTTCTTACCGGAAGGGACTGTGCTGGTCTGCATGCAGAGAACTTCACAACCCCCACCCTTGGTCTCTGTGTTCTGCGTTGTCTCTCCTTCCTTGTGAAAACCTCGGCCTGCACTGAGGAGGGGAGATGGGCTTTGGGACGAGTCCCCAGTCATCTCAGGTGGTCAGCACTTGAATATAAATAGCTTTCTTTTGTACCAGCATCTGTCTCAAGAATGGCTTTCATGGTGACAGGCAGCCTTACCTAGGTTTTGGTTACAGCATCATCTATCTAATTGATGGGAAACTAAGAATTATTCTTTCCAAGCCAGGGTCCTCAACCTTGGCACTACTGATATTTGGGGCTAGATAATTTCCCATTGTGAGGCTTGTCTTAGCCACTGTCAAATGCTTAGTATCTGTGGGTTCTACCTCAGGTGCTGATAGCAACCTCTCTTCCCCAGTTATGAAACCAAATGTGTCTCCAAACATTGCAAATGTCCTCTGCAGGGCAAAATGTCTCCTGTTCAGAGCTTCTGTTTCAGGCTGAAGGATGATATATAACATCTTATGATGTAGTGTATGTATTATTTCTTAAATAGATGATAAACATATTATTATTCCATGTATTTTAGTTCAATATAAAGCAGATTGATATTTCAAATACCTTTTGTACAAAGAGATGTACAGATATCTTAGCAGCCCCATGGAATCAACAGGACATGTGTTGTTAGGTTTAAAGCCCAGGTGACAAGTAGTCACTATGTCTTTTTTTAAATTTAGTTTTTCAACATTTTTTTCTTTACTGATTTTAGAGAGAGAGGAAGGGAGAAAGAGAGAGAGATAAAGACATTGATGGAAGAGAACATTGACTGGCCGCCTCCTGCATGCTCCCACCGGGGATAAGGCCCACACCCTGGGCATGTGCCCTGACCGGGAAATGAACCGGCGACCTCTTAACAACTGAGCCACACCAGCCGGGCATCACTATGTCTTTTTCTTGTGAAAATAAAGAGAGAGACACTCTAATAAACTGAATTAATTCTAAAAAAAAAAAAAAAAGAAGAAGAAGAAAAAGAAAGAAAGATGACTCCAGAGCCAGCCATCCTGGAGGACTTTCTGTAAGAAGCAACATGGTTTGAATCCTGAAAGCTGAGGGAGTCAGGCAGCCCAGAATTGGATCCAGCAATGTCTTGGAACCCCTGGTATCTTCCACTGGTTTCTTTTGTGGTTGTGGTGCTTTTATGCTCCTCAAAAGGTGAATGACACTCAACTAGCAGCCTTGTGGACTTCAAGGGTCATGTTTTCCAACCTTACTCACTTTCCTGCCAGGCTTATGGCATTGCCTCAATCCTCCCATCGTTGTTTCTTTCTACAGTACTTCATCCTGTACTTAAGTTTTTAAAGGATACTTTAAATCATTAAATGTAAAGCTAACATACCTGCCAAAAATAAATAAAATGAAAACAAAACATTTTATTAAATTCTAGATACTACTCTCTGAAAAAGGCACTGAAACTGATTAGCAAGTGTTGGGAACGTGTTGAGACAGATGAGCAGGAGCAGTGACCTTTACTTTGATGTAATGGGGGGCGAAAAAGAAAAACTGGGGAGTGCTCACTTTGCAATACATGAGTTGTTCTGATGGGTCCATGTAAGATATTATCTACATACATTGGAATACCTGTTCTAGGATATTTTTTGGAAAGAGGCTTTGTCTCCCTGACACACCTGCATCACCCCTGGCACCTGTTTCTGCTTATATCACCCTCAGGTTCCTGAGGCTCCACCCAGATAGAGACTCCTGCATGAGTGGAAGTCACTGCCCTTGACCAACTCATCTTTTAGTCTCCACAATGACATTCTGCAAGGCAGAGTGGATGAATTGGGCACATATGCATCAAAATATATGGTTGAATCCTCCATATAGGGGGTTCTTACAGGCTTCTCCCAGCTTTGTGATCACCTGTCCTCAACCAAAAAAAAAAAAAAGACACCTACTTCTTCACACCTCCATGGTTCATATCTCTCCTCTTCCTTTTCTAGAAAATGCTGCCCCACCCACTGTTGCTTGCCTTTTCCTCTGGTCCCCCTCACCTTCCTCCAGGTGAAATGTGGGCACAGAAATCCCCAGCATTTCTTTACTCATCTACTTATTCATTTTAGATCCCAAAGACACAGAACAAAGACTACAGGCCAACTCAGTTCCAACATCTTGCTCACTGTGTCATGTGTGTCTGCTTTGAGTTGAACTTGAATGTCTTTAGGTCCAGTTGTACTCTCCTGCTTGACACAGTCCCCACCACTCTTTATTGTCCTATACCTGCCTATTGTTCAGGGTTGTTACAAGCTTGGTCCCTGAAGGCCTGGAATTACAACTCTAATCTAGAACAGATGCATGTTGGGGGAGGGGGATGAGGACACTACAGGATGAGCTTGGGCCCTCCTCCCCCTTAAAAGCTTCCTAATGATAAGAGGTTCAGAAAGAGAGGGGACCTTTCATGGTCATCTTGGGTGTTACAAATCACCATGCATGCCTAAAAGCAGATGATTTGTGATCCCAG